TAGTCTATGCAAAAATAGTTCAAACACTGGAAAACAATTAAAAATTTCACGCACCAGCGCATGAAAACTGAATTTGAAATCTTGATGGGTGAATATCTTTCCGTGATTCCCGAGTTAATAGTTTACCCGCTAAGATTTTTATGAGGCCGTAGGTGAGATCCGAGAGCGCCGAAACGCTGAATATTTATTTGCAAGATTGTTTGTTGGCAGAGGGTCGCAACCCTAAAATTTCAGGTTTGCAGACCTTGTGATTCCCGAGATAATAATTTACCCGCAAAAACTTTCACTAGCCTGTAGGTGATACCCGAGAGCGCGGGAACGCTGAATTTGAATGGGCAAGGTTGAGCGTGGGCAGGGGGTCATCACCTTAAAATTTCAGCTTCCTAGTCTCCGTGGTTCCCGAGAAAATAATTTTCCCGTCAAAAATTTTCACGAAGCCGTACTGTTACCCGTGGGTACAGGAAGGTTGAATTTGAGCTTTCTTGATCGCACTTGGTCAGGGGACACACCCATAAAATTTTAGTTTCCTAGCCTTCATAGTTTCCGAGATACTGGTTTTACCCGAAAAACTTTTACGGGGCCGTATGTGGTACCCGCGGGTACGAGAAGACTGGATTTAAATTTGCTGCGTCACTCGCTGGCGGGGAACACTATACCAAAATTTCAGCCGCCTAGCTTTTGTGGTTGCCGGGTTGAAAGTGCGGGACAAAATATGGGACACACACACACACACACACACACAGACAGACAACCCCGTGACAATATGCATTTTGTACTGCTGTTACACAGCACAAAACGCATAAAAACTATAAGAACCAATACTTAAATTTAAATTAATAAATGTGCAGAAAAAGACATTTGGTTGATTTGTATGATTTGGTTGATTTGTATGCCTGGTTGATGCCTAAAAAAACCTTAATGATACTTTTTTACAGCTCACGGAATTGCTACGATGCGTTGCCGGTGAAACGTGTAGATCGCATTTTCATATGAGATGTTTGTCGAAACATGCACTGAATGCAAGTATGGAGTACAGAAATTTGTTGTTTCCAATAAAAGGTAATTGTCCCAGCTGTGGTACTAGGTATCTTTGGGGCGATCTCATTAGAGACAATCGAATTTTGTTAGCCATCAGTGAAGCTAATTCGACGAGTGCTAGCGGCACTGGTTTTTCCAATATGGTTCCTCGTGGCAAGCTTATCAAAATCTAGCTTTCGCAGAGCCATGCCAATCTTTTTGGCTTTTAGGCTTGTTTTGTTTTAAGATTTTTCGTTTTTTGATTTTCTTTACGGGTAACTTGAGCTTAGCTACTTTGTAGGTATGTTTTACACAATGGCTGGTTCATTTTATATCGATTTTTAGGGAGGATTTTGGGAAAAGATTGGTAAAAAAATTACAGAAGAGATTTTAGGATGAGAGGAAGCTTTTTTTCTGAATTAATCCTAGTTCTCAGTTTCCGGTATTGATTATCTGCTTCTGCCATACTATTCTTCGCTGCATTATTATTTAAATGCGAATTATCCGAGTTCGAATTGTTTTTGATTGCCATAGGTGTAAATTTCACTGTTCACTTAATTTTTAGTTTCTTTGCGCTGAAAGCGTTTATTTCCATTGTTTTGTACTTCGTTTGAATCGCTTAGTGTAAACTTTGCCTCATTCACCTCATTTCATCTCTTCCGAACTTCGGTGATAGCTGTTTAAAGTGTTAAAATACTTCTGTCTCTTGTTTACCTCCCGGTAACTCATTGAAGAAATCCCTCTTTGCAGCAAATTGAGCACTGATCCGTCTCGGTATTCATGCTGTTACCCCGTCTTTCGACTGTCAAATTTTAGCGCGCAAAAGTTTTGACAGGAAAATCGTGAAAAACTCTCCGTTTCTTGAATAAGTTCTCCGGCCAGTTGTCTGTTTTAGAAGAGTTTTTTCTCTGAATTACGAAAGGAGGGCCCTGCTTCTTGAGCAGATGCGCGAAAAAAAGCAAGTCTTTGCTCAGCTCTGTCTCTGGAAATGACCGGTGCCTCCCTTTGTTCTGGTGAGCATTTTAAGACTCAATGCATGCAATGACTGTGTTAATTTGTTAGCACGATAAAGATGAGCACAGAAAACTTTTGAAGCGCCATTGATCATGGACGCATTGAAAAGGATTGTGTGGTAGTTTATTTGCCGCTTTACAGCAGGATCAGGGAGGATTATCGCCTGCGCAGTTGTCCAAATTGACAGAAAACTTGTCCGCTGCAAAGATTGCCTCTTTTTATTTTATGGAGGGAAAAAATGAGTAAATTCCGGCGACGGTGAGGTATTATTTTTTGGGTGAACTGATCCGAGCTTGTGCGTGTCCTGCCAGATATCAGTAATTTAACTTTGGGACTGCGCAGACACGGCATCACAGTCGTCGAGTTCTCAGGCAAGCATCATTCCTGGACGGTCTCTTTCTTTTCCACGTGATCCCAAGGCCAGAATCGGGCAATTTTAAGTTTTTATCAATAGAATTGGTATTAGTGAAGTGTGTAAATTTGGCCAATCCACCATATACTCAGCTCATAGTAGTACAACGTGAAGACGGCCCAGGCCGGAAACTACTGGAAACTGTCACGACTGAACTCGGCGGAGCTCGGCGCGAATATACATTGATGTCTTACTAAACTGGATTAAGGCTGAGAGATTGTTACGGTAAGGGATTAAAATGAGAGAGGAAGGAGAGGAAGAGAGGTGATTAAAATGAGATGATTAACAGAATACAAACCGTAATAGGGAACTCTTGCGTCCACTTCAATGCACTAATAATGGAGGAGGAGGTAAGGACCAGTCTCAGTGTCATGTGCAAGAAGACATTTCTGAATGCAGTCTGTGTTTCATCTCTTAGCACGAGCCTAGCACAGCTTGCGGCCCATCCTGCCTGTCCCGTGTATAATGAGCATATGTCACATTGTATAAAGCTGTACTGGGAAGAAGGGGAGTGAAA